GGACAAAATAGTTTGAAGGGGAAAAAAGAGAAGAAAAAGGAGACGGAAAAAAAAAAAAAAAAAAAAAACCAGCAACGGGGAAATAGGCAAAATCGGAACGAAACTCTCAATATGGAAAGATACACATGCCTCGCTTCATCACTCGCAAAAATATATGATGGCGCATCTTTCCACGTTCCGGCATAAGATTCATTGTCATTTTGTACATCTAGGGAGTAGTACAGTGAGGCCCCTTATGGTCACGGCTGCCAGCTGTCAGCACCACAAACAGACACAAATTTGCTACCTAAGGAACTACACAAACCTCCCGTCGCGAACATGCAGCCGGAGGCAGGCAGGACGATCACAACCCGCCAGCCAGAGCCCCTGCACAGTGCCCCTTCGAATCTCGACTGATGGGCCCAGCCCTTGTCCCGCCGGTCTTTCTCAACAGCGGCAGCTGGGCCTCGCGGGGGTGTCACACAAGACAACCCTCGTCCCACCGGTCTTCACGCTGTAGTAAGAGTATATAGATACCAGGAAAAATAGTCCAAATGATTTCTACAGTAGTTCCATGAACAATTCTCTCGGGAATTGGTGCTTGGCTGAGACCCAGCAGTGCAAAGCTATCGTGCGTGGGATCACACAAGACAACCCGCTGCACGCCTTATTAGGAGTATATAGATACAGGAAAAATAGTCCAAATGATTTCTACCGTGGTTACATAAACAATGCTCTCTGGAATTGGTGAGACAACCCGCTGCACGCCTTAGTAGCAGTATATAGATACTAGGAAAAGTAGTCCAAATAATTTCTACCGCGCGTGGGATTATGACTGAATGCCTTTAAGTCAGAATCTGTGCTTGCAGGGATTGGATGGCGACTGCCTCCTTTCTTACTACTGTTTTAAATCCACCTTTGGTTGGTTTTCCCAAGGAGAAAAGGACCTTCGGCCTCCTTTTGTACGTCCTTGGCCCGTCTGGCCCCAAGAGCATAAGTTCTGAGTTGTCCCTCCTGCGGCGGAGCACCGTCGCGCAAGGGTTGTCTTCATCGCAATTTCTTTCGCTCGGGGTCTTCTTCGCAATTTCTTTCGCTCGGGGAGTCAAACCCTTTGCAGATGACTTAGAGCAGTGGCTGGCCCAGCCATTGGGAAACGCCCTTCTGCGTAATACAGGGCCACGGAAAAGCCGGTCGCACCCATTACAAAACCCTGGTGGCGCCAGGCAAATCGTGTGCTGGCGACTTAGGGCATCCTCAGGCAAAGATGGGGTTTCCCTGTTTGTGCATAGGGAGAAATGTGTATAGGGAGAAAGGGGATGTACAGTCCTTGACTATGTGTTTCATATCTACCATCTTTCACCCATGAAGTGGAGCGCCGGAGTAGAAGTAGACGCTGCAGATTGGACCAGCAGGTCGTTCATCGCTCGCTCGGTTGGACACGCGTTGCGCATCGCCTGCGCCCTGGTACCTTGCCGGGGTCCGGCCGGCAGGGCCCGCCCTGCTCCCCATCCGACACGTCAGGAAAGGTACACCCGCCATGTGAAGTGGCCTTCGTGCTGGACTGTCCGCTTGCCACCTGGCAGGCCACGTGGTGCCCGTTGAGAGGCAAGTGTCTCTGACAGAAATGACCGATCAAATACATATAACAAAATACAGAAAAAAATCAAATAAAATGAAATTAAATAGTTAGTATAAGAAGGGGAGGAGTGTTACTAGGAACGAGAGAAGTGGTGAGTGACGTTGGGTGTGCTTGTTGAGGTGAGGCAGAGTCAGTGGGAATATGGAGCGCAAACTCGAACACAAAGAGGACCAGCACAGCATCCCTCCTGCCCTGCTGTACTGTGCTGAGCAAGAAATGATAATGGTGGATAAAATTCCAGCGGAAGTGGTGATAGCCCTCTATAAGAATCAGCTGGCAGAGATGCTGGAGATTACGACCAGCGAATGTGGAAGTCTCCCGTTGGAGGTTTTGTTGGAGAGCAAGGAGTTCCTCGACGAGTGGGACGCGGAGATAACAAATCGCTCTCGACAATTTCCAGAGCAACAAGGTTCTGTGTGCTATTCTTGGATCACAAGTACAGTTGCTCTACCTTCGCCGTGTCTTGATTGGTCAGGGCAGTGGCGCGGAGTCTCCAACTGCATTTCATGCCCGCTTTTCAGATATCCCCCAAGCCTCCTGAACGTGATGCGCTTGGCTACTTGGCCACTCCCCTGTTGTAGCCTGCTGCAAGTAGTTTTTGCTTTGATACGCAGCCGTGTAGCGCAACCATATCTGTATGTCCCCCATTTCAGCAACACTTCCCTTCTATCTTTCCCCTCTCCTCAAACCTCGGTAAAAATTCCCTGCATCCTCCTGTCCTTTGTCGCGTGATGTTCACCTCTCTTGCCCTGCCTCGCACCTGCAAATCACGCTATTATGACAAACACTTTGGCGCATAGGCCTCTCATATGTGTGTGTGTGTGTGTGTGTGTGTGTGTGTGTGTGTGTGTGTGTGTGTGTGTGTGTGTGTACCAATGAAGCTAAAAGAGTTGTTGCCTAGACTACGCGTGACGAATCCAAGAGTTAGGTCATCTGACGCCAGGACTTCTTTTCAACTATGGTCTTGGATGTAATTGAGCTCACATACATCCAGGTCAGGCTGTAATTCCGGCCAGATACATCCAGGTGAGGCTTTAAGTCTGGTCAGACACGTTCAAATCAGGCTGTCATCACAAAGCCAACAACGAACGAACAACGAAAGAACAACAAGCGAACAACAAAGGAACAACAAACTCACTACAATGGATTTCTCTGCCAATGGAACCTAACTACCGTCCTCACCAAATATATGAATGTGAATGCCCGGTCATTATAAATGTATTTGGGGCACCATTTTGGTCTGGATGCAGTGGTAATGACCCTGGTGTTCTATTTGGGTGAAGATGCTAACCAAAGTGCGCAATAGGGCACTTTATTTGCCTGCCGATTTGTGCCATGAGACATCAACCAAACGATCGCACACACAAAACATTATGCGAATTTGTTTAAAAAAATCAAGGATAGCATTCCAAATACCAGAAAACCTCTGTGATCAGTGTGATGCGACTTACACCCTCATCTGGCAAATGCAATGCAACGTCACAGACCTGGGTAGCATCACGTTCGGTCTGGATGCCGTTGTTACACTACTAAGGGGGCCAGAGCAGACCTGGGTAGCATCAACGTTCGGGCTCGGTGACCGAGCCCGAACGTGGCACAAAATCGACCGAGTCCGAACTTTTTTTTTTTTTTTTTTTTTTTTATACATAAATAGAGGTTGAGGGGCCTCGAGGGGCATTGCTCATCACTCCTGAACATACACAAACCACACACACACACACACACACACACACACCTCACACGCAAAATCGACCGAGCCCGAACATTTTTTATTTTATTTTTGTTTTTCATTTTTGTCCATATATAGGGGTTGGGGGCCCTCGGGGGGCATTGCTCATCACTCCTGAACATACACACACACACACACACACACACACACACACACACACACACACACACCTCACACACACCCCACACACACCCCACACACAACACACACACAAGGTCGCGTTTGACAGCCCCCTAATCTGCGCTCGGTCGGACATGTTCGGTTCCCGCTCGGCCGAGCATCCGAATATGTTCGGCTGCTCGGTGGGGCGCTGAGCATGTTCGGCGTGGTACGCAGGGCCAGATGTTTTTGGGAGCTTGGAACGTCTGCCCCGTTGTTTACTGCCAAGCGTCTGTGACGTCTGGCCCGCATTGTTAGTGCCGAGCGTCTGGCCGACTGCGTTTGGCCGTAACAACGTCACAGACGTCTCTGGCCGGTCTGCTACCACTAAAGGGGGCCAGACGTTGTTGCTGGGCCCATTGTTATTGCTAAGGGGGGGCTTTATCAACCCCCTCAGTAGTAACAACGGGGGCAGACGTTTGTCCCGAAATCCAGGCCTGCGGCATGCCCCGTTAGAAGCAACAACGGGCCCAGCAAAAAACGATGCAAGTCACAGAAGCTTGGCATTGATGACAATCATAACATGGCTGTATTGCCGCCAACTTCAGCGCAAGTTTGCTTTAAATTTTGGCAAAACTTGAAAAAACAGTAAAACTTCAAAAAAGAGAGAAAAAAACTGCCAAATGTAGGTGCTGCGACGTGTTTTCAATTTTGTCTATGTAAGGGACGCTGGACCCGGTTTCCAGCAGGTGATGCCCCCCGCAAATAGCTCAGACACTTGGTAAGGGAACTGGATGGGACGGTGGACCCGCCCAACAGTGTTGCTTTTCAGAACTTGGAAGTGGGGGGAGCCAGGAAGAGAGAGCAGATATCTGGCGCCAGGTGCAGGGTGAAGAGCACCCCCCCCCCTCCCAACCTCCTGCTCAGTCAATCCCCTGGACCCCAGGGTAATCAATGCTGGCAGGATTGTACCACACTTTTCTGATGGAGCCTCCCCAGGTGCTAGCGGTGTCTGCTCGTACCAGCACCACTAGCACTGACGGGTAAGGTCGAAATGCCGCAGGCCTGGATTTCAGGAAAACTTACAAACCACCAGTCCCCTTCTGACCCTTCCCTTGCCACGCCTAAAAACGCTCTGCGCCCCCGAAATCCAGGCCTGCGGCATGCCCCATTTAGAAGCAACAACGGGCCCAGCAAAAAACGATGCAAGTCACAGAAGCTTGGCATCGATGACAATCATAACACGGCTGTATCGTCACCAACTTCACCGCAAGTTTGCTTTAAATTTTGGCCAAGACTTGAAAAAACTTCAAAAACGAGAGGAAAAAACCGCCAAACGTAGTCGAAATGCCGCAGGCCTGGATCTCAGGAAAACTTAAACCACCAGTCCCCCTTTGACCCTTCCCTTGCCAAGCCTAAAAGCACTCTGCGAGCCAAAAAATAAAAATAAATAAATAAAAAATGCCGCCGGCCTTCTTTGGCCGGTGCTGCCAGCCATTTTGCTCATGTAGGCCATGACCCCCGGGGAACTTCCGGCCACATGCACACCGCATCGGAGAAAAATGGCCGGCGGAAAACGCACTGGTGGTTTAATGGGGATGTAGCCGTGAAGGAAAGCCGAGTTAGGGGAAAACAAAAAGGGAAAAAAAAGGGAAAAAAGTTCAAAAAACAACTCAGACTAGGACTTTCCGAAGAGAATCTGATAGCAACTTTCAACACAATCAACCAGTCGATTAAGTCTCCTAGTGTTGTTAAAAAAAAAGACAAAGAAAGAGAACTTAAAAAAGTCTTCTACACTTCTACTATGAAACTGGCCTAAACTGAGTCCTCAAATATACATTGATCGGGAGGGAAAAAAAACACAAACAAAATGATCAACACGGACGAGTGAGTTACACGACTGTGATGGACGATGAACAAGGAGTGAGTTGCGTTATGACAGTGCTCGACGAGCATGGACGCCCGCCCGCAAGCACACAAATATCACTCGAACACGACCCGGTTTCCGAACGAATGGATGCGACAAAATGACAGAGATATGGTTTGAATACTTCCTTCGATTTTCGATTGCGAGCGGTGGGCGGAGAGTAGAACTCCTTCACACAACCACCAGCAGCTCGTTCTCCCTTTCTTCCTTCGAGTGGGAGCGGTGAGAGGCGGGGTGGGCAGAATTCCTTCACACAACAACGACCAGCGTTTTGTCCGATTCTCCCCGGTGGAGCTCTATATACGCATGCTGCTTGACGTCCTGAGAATCAATATCAGTCTGCAAAAGGAGCCAAGCGAACAGAAAAGATCAGCAAATAGTAGTCTGAGAGAGGTCGCAAACCCTATAAGAAAAGCATGTTATGACAGAGTTATGCAGAAAAATAAACAGCACAACTTTTGTCTCAGAATCCCATCGAGATTTTTTACCAAATTAAAAAATATATATATATCGTCATAGATATCGTCAAATAGAACTGCCCGGTAAACCGTAGGCAGAGAGGGAGAAGAGGAAAACAAACGAGGGGCTATCGTCACAAACAGAACTGCCCGGTAAACCGTAGGCAGAGAGAGAGAAGAGGACAACAAACGAGGGGCTGTGACAAACTGTTTCGTCGGAGTTTCACCGACTCATCAGGAGGCTGAATATATATTCTATAGTCAGACAGAGCTGCCCGGTAAACCGCAGGCAGAGAGGGACAAGAGGACAACAAATGAGGGGCTGTGACAAACTGGTTCGTCGGAACATATATCTACCTGGGTAAGATGATGTTGCAGGGCCTTGTCGAGGTTGGCCTGCAATGAGCTCCAGTGCCTTCTCGATGGTTCCCCACTGCTCTCGCTTTGCACTGCGTCGGCTATCTGCTGCTTTAGACGATCGAGAAGTGTGTACGGAAACCAAGCGGCGCAAAGCTGCTTCCTCATTACAGGATTCTGTTTTGCATTAATCATTTTTATTTACCCCCCCCCCCCCCCCCCCCCCCCCACACACACACACATGCGCGCACACACACACACACACACACACACACACAGACACACACACAAACAAAAAAAGAGAAGTCAATCCAGGCCAAGCCCCACAGCGAGGCGCTGGACACAGCCAGCAAACATTTTGAAAAGAGTTCTGAGTCGACTGACAATGCAATGAAATTATGATCAACCATACTAAAATTTTTAAAGTGCTGGTACTCCTTTCCTTTTTATGATACGCAATCTTTCGTTTCCATCCGAAAGATTGCTGCACTGTTCCAATAATAGCGCACACCAATGTTGCGTCGGCTCATGCATTCACTGATACCCCCCTAGCCATGGTGAACAACAAACAAATTACCGATAAAAATTACGACCAAGAGAACAAAATCTTGCTACAAAGAACTGAAATCACAATGGGCAAAACCAATACAAAATTAGCGCAAAATTGCAAACTTCATTCATTTCAAATTTCAAATATCGCAAACTGGACAGTACGTACAAGAAACTGACAAGGGTCATGTGGCCGGAAGTTCCCCGGGGGTCATGGCCTACATGAGCAAAATGGCTGGCAGCACCGGGAGAACACTCAAGCAGGCGTAATGGGCCAGTGCACGCACACACACACACACACACACACACACACACACAGAGGAGAGAGAGAGAGAGAGAGAGAGAGAGAGAGAGAGAGAGAGAGAGAGAGAGAGAGAGAGAGAGAGAGATGCAAATGGGCCCGTTCTGCACGACACAGGTTTTGCTGTATAAGGAAAAACAGGATCGAAGGGGAAGAAGAGAAAAGACACAGTCAATCATTTGAGGAAGAAGAGGACTGCTCAGCAATGACCTGCATCGCACGAGAAAAGAGAGGAACACAATCCACCAATACAGCACACTCGGTTCTGCATGCAGATACGACGCAAAAACAGAAAATTTCTGGTTAATTGACTGGCAATGGGAAGAGGGGGAGACTAACGCCTCATTTCCTTACCTGCCTCGCCCATGATTGAAGATACTCCAAGATCAGTGCAACAGCATCCGCTAGCAGACCAAAGTCGAGGAAGATCCGAAGCAACGCAGCTGGATCACCTCTGTCTCCTGCCATACCCCTTGATCCTTGGGTCCCCTGGAGGACCCAGCAAAGCAACAAGCAAAGCAATTACACATGAGCCATATGGTCACATCTTCAACATATGTGCATCTCATTTTATTAAGATAAGATATTAAGGAGGCCACCAGGGGCGAGGTCCCATTACCAGTCGGATAGGAGTGTGGCCGATCCAGTGTGACACTGAGTGGCAGCGGGC